ACCTTTGGAATGTGCCTGAAAACCATACCAAGGGTTGACCCAAGCCTTATGAATAAAACCGGGTAGACGGAATCTATGGGGGCCGTCTATGGCTATCCTAGCACGAAGTCACAAGTCATCGTGACCGAGAGTTTTAGTGTGCTGGCCTCGTTTAGATTGTTGATCACTTTAGGTGACACGCTTCTCCCCCAGAAACTGTAACTAAGGTCTGCTTATCTTAGTTGCAATATAAACCACAAGTGAGTTGAACAAACAAAAAATGTGCCTGAGCAAGCACATGCAATAGGGATTAGCTAGCCGTCCTAGCCGTCCTAGTTGATTGCTATCCTTGAATGCGAGTGGTTAACCATTAACGTAACCCAGAGTACGACTGAAGTTTACCTACTTCAAACCTTGTTGTCTAAAATAACCTAGCCTAAACTATAGCTACTCCCAAATTTGCGATTATCATGAACAGCTTGTTTTTTTTTAACTTGGATGCTATCTGATGGCTTCAATCATTAACATTATCATCATTATCATCACCTCTATCAGTCTTATGACTGATTGTCGTCGTAGGGTCACCGAGCAAGTCAGCACTTGACCAGCTCCCTGTATGTCTCAGTTGCATGCCAATATCCGAGTCTATGTGAATGGTCTTCTACTCCACTCACTGAAGTTCCCGGTCCTTTTTCCCACTGTTAGCGTCTTCTCCTTTTATCAAAGGCGGTAATTTGTAGGAAGACAATGGAAACATTGTTGGCTCTTATGGTGTACCCATGACGTTTCAACTTGCTCTTCTTAACGATGTTTGCGAGGTCTTTCAACGGGCCTGTTTCTTTAGTGACGATGTCACATGTGAGCCGGTCTATGTAGGAAATCTCTGAGACACTTCTGCGTGGTGTAATGGTTAGCAAGCTTTTCTCACTAGATTAATTACGACTGAGTAGTGAGTTCGATGCTCACCGGGTACTCCATACTTTCAGCCTTGTGCCTCGTCTAAGCTACGCTTAGTAAATCACGTTGTAAGCAATGACTAGGATGGTTCCATAGCTTCTCATTCTACTGCTTGAATTATTCGATGTATTTTTTATCACCTGAATCTATCTCATATCTATAAATATGTATAAGTCTACCATTCGTCTATCCATTGAATATTGTTGTCACATCTGGTACGATACTCATGTTATACAATTTAGAGATTCTCGATAAAATACAAAGAAGAATCTGCAATATTACTGATCCTGACCTGGCATCTCGCCGTCAGTGACTTTCCTACCGCTTAATGTATCTTTGCTTCTGCATTCATAGTCATTGTTCTAATGAACCTTCCTCAATAAAATTGCAAGCATTGTAAATATTCATTGGGGTTTCATATTTAATAGTTGTTATTTTCATTCCCCTCCACCCCAGACAAGCTGTACATATGAGAACTAGTTAGCACTTCATAGAGACATTGAGGTATTACGGTGATTGCAGTAAGAATGATAAGTAAGAAGGTGTTGTTTTGATGTAAAGAATACTGTGGTATGTTTGGGTCAGTAATTGTGTCTAGCTAAGTTTAAGATAAGACAGCATAAAGACCAGCCTTCCCCATTCCCCCTTTGGCCTTGTACCATATATTTTTTTATTATCAAAATAAATATTATTTTCCTCTGTGGTACCGTAACTTTATGAATTTAAGTGCAGTATTAAATTAGAGTCAAGGTCTCATCATTTTACAGTGGAAATTGCTAAATGTTACTGTGGTAAAACAATAATATTCTAAATTGTTGCCAAGGAGTAGGTAGGCTCGCCTGTCGCCCGGTTCACACTTCTCCCCGGTCTTTTGAACAGGAGTGGAGATTTAACTATTTTTTCCTGATTAGGATTGGGTTTCCCGTTCCTTAAAAAGGTTTCTCAATCTTTTCACACCCAGTAACCGTTGGGCGGCACGGTGTCATCATTTTACAGTTGAAATGGCTAGATGCAACCGTAAGTTCTATGCTAACAGTTTCTTTTCTTGGACTTCTCGCTTGTGGATCGCTTTTCCTGCTTCTTGCTTTCTATTCAACTTTGGTCTTCAAAAATAAAAATAAAAATGAATGGAACGACAATCGTCATATACTGTCTTCTTAATTTTTGCTCTTTTATTTTTCTCTCTGTTATATAGGAATAAAGTGTCGCTGCCGACACTTGAGTTTGAACATGGATCGCCAGTAAGTAAATACAGGCGATCCCATTATTGAATTAAGTAGACCATGTGACCACAGAGGAAACGCATAAGTAGGAATTAGCTTTGCGTCTAATTGATCGCATTTCTAGTCTATCCTCTATTACTATTCGGATCACTATCTCTAGTCTATCCTCTATTACTATTCGGATCACTATCTCTAGTCTATCCTCTGTTACTATTCGGATCACTATCTCTAGTCTATCCTCTATTACTATTCGGATCACTATCTCTAGTCTATCCTCTATACTATACGGACCGCTATTCTCTATACCATTTCACTATAGGGATTACTCTTCAAGTGAGTATTAACGAACTAGTACTATTATTGCGAGTGTTATTCGAAGGCGTCTGACACCAGTATTGTTCAACGGCGTTAATATATTTGTATCTGCGATTACAAAGTCTCTACTACAACGAGCATTACGAAAGTTACAACAAGTGTTCGTTTTCATCACAAAACACTCAAAGTAACCCATTGTGTCTTAGGGGTTTTATTGCCTTGCTTGGGATAAAGAGTTTAAAAATAAAAAAATAAATAAATTCTGCTGTTTGTCTGCAAGCTGGTACCAGTGGCTAATTCAACAGTAATCAGTTACCCATGTTTCTAAAAATGGACTTTATTCGCTCGATAAAGCTGTTAGGCAAAAGCAACGAGAATATATGGACTTCTTCATAAGAAAATTGTATATTTCTTCCTTTTTGAATTGCCAACTTTTCATATATTTGTCAAACCCGACGTCACAAGTCGAGAAAGGCTTAAATCTAATATAATCTTTCCAAATAAATACCCCCATTATGGAAGCGGTAAATTCCTGTCGAGCCCATATTTTTTTACCCGGAGATATAAAATAACCACGCCCAACTTATATGACGGATATAAAAAAAAAAGCCTCGCCTAGAATAACTTCAGGAATACTCTAGGCTGAATGGAACTTCAGCGTGCTGTAATTTTTGGCAATTTCTTCTCGTCAAATCAATTTCAACTGAGTAGTGAGATTGATCCACACTGGGTGATCTATTCTTGTGGTTGTGTTTAACATCGGAGCTGTTCGACATTTCGATGTGTTTAAAGGGTTAGAAAGCTGATCTCGTTAAATCAATTGAGCTGGGTGCTCCAGACATTCGGCCTTGTGCCACATCTAATCTACACTTAGTAAAGCACTATACTTTGAACTGAAAGGCACTTCGATGTGGTATAATGGTTAGGAAACAGGTATCGTTGAATCAACGGAATAGTGAGTGTCAATCCACACGGAGCGCTGCATACTTTCGGCCTTGTGCCACACCGAAGCTACGCTTAGTAAATCGCTAACTAAATTCTTAACCGGTAGACATTTCGACGTGGTTAATGTTATGAAAATTGTTATAGGAGCTTGATTTTGGGATTTCCCTTTTGTGATTTGCATGTTATATATATATATATATATATATATATATATATATATATATATATGTATATATATATATTTAAAAAAAAAAAAACACATTACAACCAAAAAACGTTTGCGGTTCTCTCTTCTTTTTAATATATATATATATATATATATATATATAGATATAGATATATATATATATATATATATATTTGTGTGTGTGTGAAAAGGTGTGTATATAAACATAAATATATATATATATATATATATATATATAATTATTTATATATTATATGCGTGGTACTTATTAGAAAGCGCTCAATATCAGAGATAGAGCTAACATATTTGGTTGAATAGATGTGAGTTTGTGACCCTGGGTTTCACGCTTTTGCGATCCTCAGACATGGGTCACAAACTCACATCAGTCCAACAAAATATATATATATATATATATATATATATATATATATATATATATGCCGGGTTTAACAGCAAAATTGTACAAATCGTGTAACAGCAAAATTGTCCATTTGTTAGATTAAGACTTGAACCGTTGTATCTTAGAAATGATTAAAGATATCTTACTGGAATTCTTCGAGGTTTTTATAAAACTATTGGACTCTACTTTGAACAATAAGAATGTATAATTACTCTCCATGCCAATCAAAAAAGAAAATGGATGGATATATATATATATATATATATATATATATGAATAATAAAAACAAAAGGAAATCTTAGCTTAGCCGACGCGTTTCATTCTCTGATGGACTTTGTCAAGGAAAATGTAAGGATTTTATTTTATAAAAAAAGGAAAATTTTGTTTGTTTTTTTTTTTAATTTTTTAAATTCAAGAAACTCTCAGCAGGTTTTATATTTTTGAATTTTGAAAAACGAACAACATTTTTAATTCTGTTTATAAATACTTGTTGCAAAATAAAATCCTTGCATTTGTCATGATAAAGTCCATCCTAGGACCAAACGCGTCAGCTAAGATAAGTTTTTCTTTCCTCTTTATTATTCCATCATAGACACTAAAATCTTTCGGTAACAGTACCTTATTAAAAATTCTGTTAGCATATTAGCTTTTTTTTTTAGGTTTTGCTTACTTGCCTGTCAGTCCTGAAAATGCCATTGGCAGTCAAATGTGTGACCATCAATGAGGTTATAGTTCAAGAACTAATTTTTTTTTTTTTGGTCCTGTCTTGTACGCGTCTCAGTCTGCAACTCCAGGAAGACTGAATTCCAACCTGACGAGGTTATTTTTTTCGGTAAAATCGGGAAGGTTATTTTTAGACTTGATTTTTCTTCTCTCGAGAAAGGCAAGTTTTGAGATGTTATGTAACATCACCATTTAGTAACCACAATAGGACAATAAAAGAACGGATTTTAAAATGACCAATCAACATAATACTCTTTATTTTGTGAAAGGCTTGCGACGACATTACGTTGAATCACCGGTTTCCATACGATCACTGAAGTTAAGCAACATCGAGACTGGTCAGTACATAGACGGGTGACCGCTTGGGAATACTAGGTGCTGGAAGCTTGGATGTGCGTCATGTGTAATGGATAAGTTAAGCAACATCGAGCCTGGTCAGTACCTAGATGGATGACCGCTTGGGAATACTAGGTGCTGTAAGCTTGGATGTGCGTCATGTGTAATGGATAAGTTAAGCAACATCGAGCCTGGTCAGTACCTAGATGGTGACCGCTTGGGAATACTAGGTGCTGTAAGCTTGGATGTGCGTAATGTGTCATGGATAAGTTAAGCAATATCAAGCCTAGTCATTACCTAGATGGGTGATCGCTTGGGAATACTAGATGCTGTAAGCTTGGATGTACGTCATGTGTCATGGATAAGTTAAGCAACGTTGAGCCTGGTCAGTACCTAGATGGGTGACCGCTTGGGAATGCCAGGTGCTGTAAGCTTGGATGTGCGTCATGTGTCATGGATAAGTTAAGCAACATCAAGCCTGCTCAGTACCTAGATGGGTGACCGCTTGGGAATACAAGGTGCTGTAAGCTTGGATGTGCGTCATGTGTCATGGATAAGTTAAGTAACATTGAGCCTGGTCAGTACCTCGATGGGTGACCGCTTGAGAATACTAGGTGCTGTAAGCTTGGATGTGCGTGAGGTGTAATGAATAAGTTAAGCAACGTCCAGCCTGCTAAATACCTAGATGGTTGACCGCTTGTGAATACCAGGAGCGTTAAGTGTAATGAATAAGTTAAGCAACGTCGAGCCTGTTCAACACCTGGATGGGTGACCGCTTGTGAATACCAGGAGCGTTAGGTGTAATGAATAAGTTAGGCAATGTCGAGCCTGTTCAATACCTGGGTGGGTGACCTCTTGGGAATACCAGGAGCTCTAAGCTTGGATGTGTGTGAGGAGAAATGGATAAGTTAAGCAACGTCCAGCCTAGTCAATACCTAGATGGGTGAAAACTTGGGAATAACAGGCGCTGTAAGCTTGGATGTGCGTTGCGTGTAAAGGATAAGTTAAGCAACGTCGAGCCTGTTCAGTACCTAGATGGGTGACCGTTTGGGAATACCAGGTGTGTAAGCTTGGATGTGAGGGTGGCGTAATAGATAATGCCACGAATTTTTTAATCGGAGAGCCGAGTTCCAATTCCATTTGGCTTCGTTATGTTCACAAATTGCCTAGGGAAGGTATGGATCCACCTCTTCTCCCCCATCTATGGGTTAATTAGAAAGTCATGTATTACTAAATTGTTATTATCTAAAAAAAATTCTTACAATCTAGAAATATTTTCTGGCTTTAAATAACCTGCAGATGGGCGTGATAAGCCGTTGAAGCTGAATCAGTATAAGAAAAGCAAAAGGTGAGATAACTTCACAGGTGTAAGGAGATTCACACAGGAAAAGGAAGAATCAAACCCTCGACATAATGTATCAATGTTATAGAACTCTACAAAGTAATTCTTTCGCGTCTTGTTTTGTTTCTGTATTTTACAGAAGTTATTGTTATATAGGAAGGTTATTTGTAGAGGGCAAACAACTCTTCAAAATAGGCCGAAAAAATGCAGCATTATTTACATAACTCGTCAATGAGTTAACACAAAATTAAAAACACCTAAATCCAGTCTTCACAACAGTAGATATAAGAAAAATATTCAACAGATATATCTTTTTTTCATTTTTTTAATCATTTCACCCCAAGCAAGGTGATAATGCCACTAACACGCAAGGGGGTGGTTATTGAGAGTGAAAGAGAATGAGAAGACTTTAGAGAGGAGAAAAGACAATAAAAGAACAGGTTTCAGGAAGACAGAAGATGGCGATAATGCCACTAAGACGCAAGGGTTTACTGGGAGTGAAAGAGAAGGTGAAGACTTTAGTGAGGAGAAAAGACAATAAAAGAACAGGTTTCAGGAAGACAGAAGATGGCGATAATGCCACTAAGACGCAAGGGTTTACTGGGAGTGAAAGAGAAGGTGAAGACTTTAGTGAGGAGAAAAGACAATAAAAGAACAGGTTTCAAGAAGACAAAAGAGGGCGATAACGTCACTATGACGCAAAGGGTTTGGGGCAATGAAAGATAAAAAGCCTTTAATGATGAGAAAGGACAATAAAAGAACAGTTTTTCAGGAAAGCAGAAGATGGCGATAAAGTCACTATGACGCAAGGCTTTTAGGGAGTGAAAGATAATGAGAAGCCTTTAGTGAGAAGAAAGTACAATAAAAGAACAATTTTCTGGAAAACAAAAGATGGCGATAAAGTCACTATGACGCAAGGGGTTTTGGGTAGTGAAAGTTAATGAGAAGCTTTTAGTGAGAAGAAAGGACAATAAAAGAACAGGTTTCAGGAAGACTGAAGACGGGGATTATGCCGAAAGGGGTCACTGGGAGTGAAAGAGAATGAGAATTTAGTTAGGAGAATGGAACAAGGATCAGGAAGAAATAAGATGGCGATTGACGTTGCATTTACATTTTTGAAGATGTTTGTTGCCAGGAAAGCCATAATTCGAAAGAGAGTCTCAAATACGAGAAATGTAAAAAAAAATAAAACAGAACTTTTCGTTATACGTTACTATTTAAACGGCAAAACGTTTTGCCAGTTTAATAGTACGCTTGAACGAGGTACCAAGGAAGAAAGCTCATTAGAACAATTGCCATGAAAAGATGTGTAGAAAAGACAGTGAGAAACCTCGTTAGGTCGGTGGGGAAGTGATTGAAATAGAGGTTGAAGTTCAGGATTGATAACATTGCAGACCCGGCTTTTGTGTTCTTGCCAAGAATCACGAGATATATAGCCGGGGCACCAGACAAGATATGGCAGCAATATTCAATGCAGGGACGATTTATAAATGTCGAAGACGGATTTAGAGGAGTAAAAATTGTCTGTTACGACACTGCCAACCAAAGTTCTTAGCAGTCAGCCATAGCAAATACTTCAATATCATCGATCCACTAAGATGCAAGAAGGTTTAATGAGTCGCTCTCCTGGAGGTTAGAGTCAATCTATCTATCTATCTATCTATCTATCTATCTATCTATCTATCTATCTATCTATCTATCTATCCCAATCCTTCCATATCTATCTATCTATCTATCTATCTATCTATCTATCTATCTATCTATCTATCTATCCCAATCTTTCCATATCTATCTATCTATCTATCTATCTATCTATCTATCTATCTATCCCAATCTATCCCAATCCTTCCATATCAATCCTTCCATATCCTTCCATATCTATCTATCTATCTATCTATCTATCTATCTATCTATCTATCTATCCCAATCATTCAATATCTATCTATCTATCTATCTATCTATCTATCTATCTATCTATCTATTTTGTATGATCCCCTATACAATCGCAAGTGCACTGAAAATAAAAGGCTGTTAGAACACTAAGTCGCAACAGTCCTTAAAAAGAAGTTATTTGGGTGCAACTTACTCCTCACTAAAGGAATACGAATGGAATAAGGCTGCTTCACCTTACTGTACAACACGTGGTGGGTATATATATATATATATATATATATATATATATATAGAAAAAGTTTCAAATTGAAAATTATAATGTTTTATTTTATGAAAGTATTTATTTATTTATATATATATTTGATATTTCAAATTGTCCTCAATTTTTCATCAGAAATAACTGTTTGTTACAAATAAATTAAAATTACTGTTTGTTAGCAAGTAGCGTCCTTCGCGAGACGCGGACGTCACGTGATATGGAACGTCACTGTTCGGATATTCCTAACTTAAATCTGTCATAAATATTTAAAAAAAATTTGTTTCTATATCTAAAAAAAAACCTCCAATTAGACAACAAGATCAAAGACATTTTCGATAAACCACCCATAAATGCAATGAAACAATCACCTAACTTATCAGCTATCCTCACCTCTACCAAATATCTAAACAATAGAAACCAAACAGGAAATTACAAATGTAACAAACCTCGTTGCTTAGTTTGCAAACATTTAATAATAGCTAATACATTTTCCGTACCCAACACCAATATCAGAATACAGCCACCTAACCTCACCTGCGATACCCACAACGTAATCTATTATTTATTCTGCAACTTATGTCCTAATAGTGGATATATTGGTGAGTCTGGAAACAATTTTAGATTTCGTTTTAATAACCATAAACAAACAATACGTCAAAACAACCCTTATTCCCCCATAGCTAAACACTACAATCAATCAGGACACACATTAGAAAACTGCAAATGTTTATTAATAGATTCCGATTTTACTTTATTTTTTTCTGCGTGTGAATACACGCAGAAAAAAAGAAACATATTGGATTTTAAAATTAAATACACATAAACTAGGGTTGAATAGGGACTTAGGTGTTTTAAATCTTTATAAATATTTCAATAGTTAAGCAATTTTTTTTTTTTTAAATATTTATGACAGTTAGATTTAAGTTAGGAATATCCGAACAGTGACGTTCCATATCACGTGACGCTACTTGCATAGCACGCTACTTGCTAACAAACAGTAATTTTAATTTATTTGTAACAAACAGTTATTTCTGATGAAAAACTGAGGACAATTTGAAATATCAAATATATATATAAATAAATAAATACTTTCATAAAATAAAACATTATAATTTTCAATTTGAAACTTTTTCTATATATACATATTAAGAAAGTATACGTGGCTTCTCATTATGCTATATATATATATATATATATATATATGTGTGTATATATATTTATATATATTGTTCATATCTATTTAACACTTGCAATTATGTCAGTCTATTCTCATCTATATCTATCTATATCTCTCTCTCTCTCTCTCTCTCTATATATATATATATATATATATATATATATATATATATATATATATATATCATAATATTTTTAAAAATATGATTAAAAATATTATAATATAAAGTTTTACTTCTGTAGGGAGCACTGTCTTCGTAAAAAAAAAACAAAAATACTAAGGAACTCCGTATTATTTACCTGACGTGTTCCTTACTATTTTTTCTGCATACTTGCGCATATATATACATATATATATATATGTATATGTATGCATAT